AATAAAGAGGCAAGAGGGGGAGGAATGTTCTAAGCCAGGGGTGTCAAACTCAAATTCATCAGGGGCCGCATCAGCAGTTTGGTCACCCTCAAAGGGCCGGTTGTATCTGTAGGACTATGTGTCCACTCTATATTATCATAAATTATTGTCACTGCGTTCAATTATTACTGTTTTTTGTAATAATGTAAGTAATAACTAGCTCTGAAAGCAGAAACATAGTCAGAATAATGGCAAGTAGATATTCAAATGTACAATTATTGTACAATTTATTGAAAAATGATTTTTGGTAAGAGACAGTAATTTATTTTTTTAAACATACAAATATTTCCAAACACTGTTTATTACACATATGGCAAACACAAGGCATTAACTTTTTTTTAACTTTTCTGACTAGATGGCTGACATCGTTTTCCTGAGGTCAGTCCATCGATGTCTGGCGTTAGGTCTTGTGCTGTAGCAATCCGCAAAACAGCATGGAGGTTATCATCAGTGATGCGCGATCTGAGCTTGGTCTTGTTCAGATTCATGACTGAAAACATCTGTTCACATAGATAGGTGCTCCCAAACATGGACAGAACACGTGCAGCTTGAAGTCGGAGCTGTGGCATCAAAGCAGGGGGGAGGAGACGGTAAAAGTCGTCGACTGTCGCATCCTGGAACTTCGCTTTCAGGCTGCTGTTGCACTGAAGTTCTATTAATTCCATTTGAAGGTGATGTGGTGCACTGTCAACATCGATGTTGAAGGGATTGGCAAAGCTGGTAAAGGTTAAGTTTTGTTCTTTAAAGTCAGAAAAGCGTCGATTGAATTCATCAATCAGCCGATTCACTTTGGTACCCAATTGAGCACATGAAAAAGTACCTGGGAATGAGGTTGAGATACTCTGGCAGATAGGAAAGTGGGCAAGACTGTCTTTTTCAAGCTGTGACTTCCATAGGCGCAGTTTCTCCTGGAAAGCTGTTATTGCCTCATACATTGAGGTTATGACTTGTTTGCGGCCCTGCAGCCTCAGATTCAGTTGGGTGAGATGCTCTGTTATGTCACACAACATGGCAAAATCGCACAGCCAGTTTGGATCTGACAGTTCTGACAAGGGCTTCCCTTTACTTTGCATAAAAAGAGTAATTTCTTCCAAAAGCTCAAAAAATCTCTTGAGAACGGTGCTCCTACTCAGCCACCTTACTTCTGTATGGTATGGCACATCTGTATGTTCCCTGCCCACCTCCTTCAAAAATGGTTGGAACTGACGATGATTCAGACCCCGTGCACGCAGAAAATTCACTGTTTTCGTGACTGTGGACATTATGTTATCCAGTTGCAGAACCTTGCCACACACAGCTTCTTGGTGGATAATGCAGTGATAAGTTATCAGCGGCGTGTGGCAATTACTTTTTTTCATTTTCTCTTTCAACAGTCCAACCAAGCCATTTCTCTCTCCACACGTTGCTGGAGCGCCATCAGTAGTAAGTCCCACCAACTTTTCCCAAGGTAATGCCATTTTATTTATGGATTCCTCCACTGCATTGAAGATGTCCCTCCCAGTTGTCCCATACATGGCGACCACATCCAAGAGTTCCTCACTGACAGACAAGTCTTCCTTCGCACCTCTTACAAAAATAGCTAGATGAGCTGTATCAGTATTGTCAGTGCTTTCATCAACAGTTAATGAAAATGCCAGTTAACTGCATGCCTCTTCAGCCAACTTTGTTTTAAGATTACAGGCTAGGTCCCTGACTCGGTCTGTGATGGTGTTTCTTGACAAGCTGACATTGTTAAAAGCCTGTCTCTGCTCAGGGCACACCTGTTCACATACCTTCAGCATACACTGCTTTACAAATGCACCTTCTGAAAAGCACTTTGAAGCTCGCGCAATTTCTTCAGCCACAAGATAGCTTGCTTTCACTGCTGCCACATTTTTTGCTGTCATTTTTGCAAAAAAATTCCATTGAGAATGCAGTCTACCTTTTAATTCTTGGACCTTTTGTTGCTTTTCCTGGTGGCTAAGGTTAGCAAATTTGGCTCCATGTTTGGTCTCAAAGTGCCGGCGTAAATTGTATTCCTTCATCACTGCCACTGCCTCATAGCAAATAAGACATACCGTGTTCTAAGCTATGCAACAACAAATGCAGCCTCCCCACCACGAGAGAAATAAAGAGGCTGGAGAAATAAAGCGGCTGGGGGGGGGAATACTCTGAGCTACTCGATCACAAAGGCAGCCTCCCCACTGATGAATTCACCCTTATTGAGGACCTTCCCCACACCTGGACAAGGTCCTAGCAGATGCGTAGTGAGCAGGGAAGCTGCGCGCACGGCTTAAAGCAGGGACCAATTTAAACCTCCCTGCCTGGAAAATTAGTCTAGCAAGATTCACAGCCCCGCAGATACCTGTCTCGCGAAAAAGGGAATTGCCTGATTAAATTACAGAAACCACCCCCCACACCCAAGTACTTAGCCAGGCGCCAGACGATCAGGGGAGACTGTCTGGATGTCCCAGCAACCCCGATGTAGCTTGGGAGCAAAACACCAACGCAGAGACGCTCCCAAAAGCTGGTCCAGTAAAAGGAACAGAGGGCAGAAAAGCCGACAGACAAAAAGCCGACAGACAAGAAACCGGTTCAAAACCGGGCAGCTGGAACGGGGCAAAGAGGGCAGTCCCCGGGTGTGCCGGCCTTAAATGGGCTAGGCCATGCCTCCCCTGCCCGCCAATTGGCGAGCCGGGGATTCCCTCTTCTCGCGGGGGCTAAAACCAGCCCCCGCGTGTGTGGGGGGGGGCCCCGCAACCCCACCTCCTCTTGAGCTCGGAAGTGGCTTTCTTGAGGCTCCGTCACGGGCACCCCGCCATACTCCCTCTAGCCGTCTGAGGTCCCGCTTCATTTTCTGGAGCTCCTCGGTAAACTAGGGAGCCCGGTTTCTGCGGGGTCGCAGAGGGCGCTTAGGTGCGATCTCATCGATGGCTGCCAGGAGCTGGGTATTCCAGCCCTCAACAAGCTCAGTCAATGAGTCGCCAGGGGGAGCAAAGTCCCGCAAGGCTTGGCGGAATCTATCAGGGTTCATCAGCCTCTGCGGGAGAGCCCAAATCGGCTCGCCACCTAAGCAGGGTGGGGGTGGACAGTCAATCCTGGCTTTCAGAGCGTAGTGATCAGACCATGGCACCTTCATCGAAGGAGACATGACCACATCTATACCTACGCCAAAGATCAAATCCAGCGTGTGGCCTGCTTGATGTGTGGGGCCCGAAACAAACTGGGAGAGCCCTAGTGTCGCCATGGAAGACAACAGGTCCAGAGCCTGTGAGGAGGGAGTGGCATCAGCATGGATGTTGAAGTCCCCCAATACCAATATGTTAGGGAACTCCAAGGCCCAGCCGGCAACCGCCTCCAGTAGGCCTGACAGGGTGGCTGCTGGTGCGCTAGGTGGCCGGTACACCAGCCAGACAGCCAAGCTCACCTTGGAGACCCACACTAGGCCAAAACATTCAATGCCGGGGATCGATGGCGATGGTAGAGCCCTGAAAGAACAATCTTCCCGGATTAATAATGCCACCCCTCCCCCCCGGCCCACAGTCCGCGACTGATGGAGGATGGAGAAACCCGGGTGTGCCATCTCTCGTAGGGTAACTGTTTCCCCTTCGCGCACCCAGGTCTCCGTCACACAAGCCAGGTCAACCCCCTGCGAGGTAAAGAAATCTCGCAGGGTGGCGGTTTTGTTGCCTATAGACCTGGCATTGCACAGCCCCAGTGATGGAGGTGAGTAATCCTTGCTCACCCTACCCTTGTCCCTCGGGATGGGGCGCAGATTCAGGGGCGCCGACTTATAAAAAATATTGGGGGGGCCCATACTGGGGTCCTGCCCCGGGAAGTTTTCTAAATTTTAGATGAAAATTAGTGAGTTTTAAAGTTTTTTAAAAGTATTTTAGAGTCATATGATCAACATTAGAACCCCGAAAACTCGACTCTCTATAACTCCACACTCCGGGAAACTCGACAAGCCTGAAACACTTTTTGGCTTTGAAAAAAGAAACAAAACATAAACACGAACGGTATTTTCATAAAAAGCTAATTTAATTTACAGTAACAATTATGCTTATAGACTATTACAGAGCAGTGAATATATAGCTCTGAAAAGACTGAAATGATATTTAAATAAATCCTAAACTATCATTAAAAGAATAAAACATAAAATATTGCTGTCGCACAGTAATAGCACTTTGATTAATAAGTGAAATAGCTAATTTAAGCTTACTTTGAATAAGGCTGAGGGTTCATTAAATAAAAATAATATCTCAAAGTTAATGCTTTAATACAGTTAATAAAGTTAATACAGTATGCCTAATACTGTATGTAAATACTGTAATACTGTATGTAAATAACGGGCTTTAATTGGGTCTTACCCTAAAAATATTTAAGTATTTGAAAATAACTAATACAGTACTATAGTAATATAGAAATACAGTACTAAACTAGTACTAATATTTCGAAACTGAACATTTAACATTCTGTATGTATTTAATTCTCTATTTTATAAAGATTTTTAATATTGCTCTAAATACCATTATTAGGGCTAGAGTGTCTTTAGAAAGGTGCAAATGTCTACCGTCTGACTGGATTACTGAATATGAAGTCGTTGATGACTGGTCGGATATCCAATTCATCCAAAACAACTCGATGGGCTTGAAGAACAGCCAAGTTGTTCAATCGCTTCTGTCCCATTGTTGATCGGAGATATGACTTCAGACGTCTAAGGGCGCTAAATGACCGTTCTGCTGTTGCTGTCGTGATTGGAACTACTTGGAGAAGCTTAATGCACTTCACTACTTCACATAACATTTCTCCAACTGCAGGCTCTTGTGTAATGTACTCTCTCACATCACGCATGTTTTTTAAGACCAGTTGTTTTTTATTAGCGATATCGGCTAACATATTCAAGTGTAAGCGCAGTCTCTCAATGTCTAGGTCATTTTTGAAAAAACTCAGTTGATTTTTCAAAATTTGTTTCACCTCTGTTTACGAAAAGCAAGCACTCTTGTTCAACTGCAATGACCTGTGTGAATCCAGTTGATGCAAACCGCTCAGTAATGCAAGATTGCACCGTTTCACAAACTTCAATGTAAATAGCTTTGTAGTATTCCTTTGGGGTTTTGAAAGTGTGCGGTGAGCTGGCTTCGTTGTTTTCATACTTCTTTGGTATACGTCGATTCCGAGGAAGCGAAGGATCATCAACTTGTGAAGGTTTTTCTTTTAAACACAATTCCCAAAAGTGTTCAAAACTATCACGCCTTCCATTCAATATACAAATCAAGCCCTCATATCTTTTTTCCAGATCAGCAACACTTAGATGAGGGCATTGAATTTTTTCATTGACATCCTCTACTGGGTTCATTGCATGGCAATAAAGACGTAAAAAGAAATAAGTTTTGAATTGTAACATTGACTCAAGGTAGCCTGCACATTTGTAACCTGCCTCTGTTTTGTCCTCTGCAGAAAATGTTTCAAAAAACTCTAGAAGTTCTTCAAAGTTTTTCAATATTCTCAAGATACTAGAAGCTCGCATAGTCCATCGAGTCGGGCAAAGGGGTCATAGACCAGCTTGGTCGTTGGCGCTCTCACAGCGTATGCTTCTGAAAAGTCCCATCCTTTTGTTGGATTCCCTTACGGTGTTTATTAAGTCCTTGGCTAAGGCCATAATATCCCTCATAGACGTAAGATGGCGGAGACTGTCTACAACTGCCAAGTTTAAACTGTGAGCAGTGCAGTGCACATAACGTGCTTTTGGTTGTATATCCAAAACTAACTTTTTTAGTCCTTTGAACTTGCCTCTCATATTCGAGGCACCATCATAGCACTGTCCTCTTAAGTTATCCATTGACAAATCAAGACGAGCAAATACGTCTTTTAAAATACTAAACAGAGTTTGTGATTCAGTGTTGGGGGTCTTGTATAAGCCAATAAAGTCTTCGTTGATAATTAAGGAATCATCGACAGTACGAATACAAAATGACACTTGTTCGTGAATCGAAGAATCACTTGTTTCGTCAACCATAATAGAAAAATGTTCAGTCTTCTTGATTGAAGCCAATACTTTTCTCAACACAGACTTTCCTAGTAGATCAATGATCTCGTTTTGAATATCGTGGGACGTCCACTTATACCCCGAACGCCCTAACCAATCTTTTAACTCAGGTACGTCATTCTTTCGGAGTTCCAACAATTGAAAAAAATTTGAGTTTACATCTTCGTGCCCTCTAATTGCTAGTCCTTGTCGGCATAAAAATTGCACGGTAGTAAAAATTGTCTCAAGAGCTAAACGGCCTTTCTTCATATCACTATCTAACTGTTCATTCAATTGGGAGGCCACACTTCGGTTAGTGATGGAATTTAGTTTCAGATCACCTTCTTTATGCGTAAACGTATTTTCATGAAGACGGAATTTTTCCAAAGCCTTTTTCCAGTTAGAAAACCCTACGGAAATAAATGCATCTTCTTTTTTTGAAGAAAATTGTAATAGATTTTTAGCATCTGCCTCTTTGCAGGTTTTGCAAAAAACTTTTTCGGTACATGCTTCATATTCTAGCCATGTATATTTGATCAACCAAGACTTCTGAAATGATCTTCCCTTACCGGATTGTCCAGGTTTTGGCTGTGAACGGTTCTCGCCTGAAGACGATGAAGCAATTGACAACACAATTATTGTCGGAGGTTGACTTGCAGTATCATCAACTTCCAAGCGCGCCTTTTTGGTAACAAATTTATCCATTGCAAACTTAATTCACAATACACTAAGAGACTAAAGTAAACGAATAAAATATAGTCATATAAAAGAGTCCACTAAACACTAAGTCGGAACACTAAACACGTCTGCAGCATGCACTGAACGAAACTATCCACACTGAAGGACTGCGCCAGCAGGGTGGGCTTTATATAGCCGCGGCGTCGTAATGTCTCGAAGCGTCAAGGCGACACGAGGTGGAGGATTCCAGGCGCTTCTGCTCCAGTCCTTTTGATGTCGCCGTGGCCGCAGCACTGGCCCGCCAGACTTTACACGAAGGTTCGCGCACCGGGACAAATTCTAAGTGTGCCCGCAGCACCGTAACCCTATCATGATTCACACCACTCTTTTCAGTTAACCTGCTTACTACCGTAATAATTATTTGTTTTAACTCATTACTGAATGTATTTTAAGGTGGAGCCCCCCGAAACGAATTTTTGAGGGGGCTCGGGCCCCCTCAGGCCCCATGGAGTCTGCGCCTATGCGCAGATTGGAAGGGGTACGAGCATATCCGTATCTCAGTCCCCTTCGCCTATGACATCTGCCCCCACCGCCATACCTCCCTCGCCCCTCCACGATAGCAATCCCAAGCCTCATACTAGCCTCCATTTACAAATAGAAAAGCAAAACAAACCAAAAACAATTATACCAAAACAAAACCAATCCCCACTCCATTCAACATCCATCCCAAACCAAACCAAACCAAAACAAAAATACATGAATAAAAACCACCGTTCACAGTGGTACAACAAAATATATAAAAACATTTTTGACATTTGCTGCAGCAGCACCAGTGTCTTTAAAGCTGTGGTGATGGTGAGTGTGGGCCCCGCCCCCTAGGCCTGGTGGAATTGGCCTGCAGGAGGGAGCGGCCTCCCCCAGCACTCAAGGTGGCAGCAGCAGCAGTGGTGTCCCAGTGCCTCAATGAGGCCTCTTAAAGCTGTGGCGGTGGTGAGTGTGGGCCCCACCCCCTAGGCCTGGTGGAATTGGCCTGCAGGAGGGAGCGGCCTTCCCCAGCACTCACGGTGCAGCAGCAGCGGTGTCCCAGTGCCTCAATGAGACCTCTTAAAGCTGTGGCGGTGGTGAGTGTGGGCCCCACCCCCTAGGCCTGGTGGAATTGGCCTGCAGGAGGGAGCGGCCTCCCCCAGCACTCATGGTGGCAGCAGCAGCAGTGGTGTCCCAGTGCCTCAATGAGGCCTCTTAAAGCTGTGGCGGTGGTGAGTGTGGGCCCCACCCCCTAGGCCTGGTGGAATTGGCCTGCAGGAGGGAGCGGCCTTCCCCAGCACTCTGTGCTGGTCCCAGGGGGGGAAAGGTACTATTACCGTAGCCCAAGTTCAGTCCAGAGTCTCTAGCAGGGTAGACGATCACTAGATGAGACGCGAGGTCCGAGACAGGGAGCCGGGCGGGGAAACAGGAACGCTGGTAGGGCAGAAGCAGGAAGCCAGGCGGGGAACAGGAACACTGGTAGAGCAGAAGCAGGAGTCCAGGCGAGGAACAGGAACACTGGTAGGGCAGAAGCAGGAATCTAGGCAAGGAACAGGAACACCGGAGAGTCAGAAACAGGAAGCCGGGCGAGGAACAGGCACACTCGGAGTGCAGATCTAGGACTGGGTAAAACAGGTACTCCACAACGACGTTGCTCCCGCAACCTGGGACCGGGCTGCCTGACCTTTATCTTCTTCTAAGGCCGGGGGCGGTCCCGGCCCCCAGAAGCCCCGCCTCTCTTGGCCTTAAGGCGAGCACTCCTCCTGGGAGACACCAGTTCCCTTCGCCTCTCTGCCCTAAGCCTCTGCAGTTCAGAAGAGGCCGAAGGGTTACTGGGCCCCGGGGGAGGCTCACCTGTAGACACTGAGTCCTCCAGCACCTCTGGGGTCAGAATGGTTTCACCTGGTCCCTGCTCTTGAGGATCTGGCACAGGTGCAGGCTCCTCAGCATCTAGGCCTTGCCCCAGTTCAGCCGGCCCTGGAGGCGGGGACTCCTGTGCCGGCTGGGATTCCTCCGGTTCGCTGTCAGACTCGGAATCCCAGGCCATCACACCCTCATGGTGGCAGCAGCAGCAGTGTCCTAGTGCCTCAATGAGGCCTCTTAAAGCTGTGGCAGTGGTGAGTGTGGGCCCCGCCCCCTAGGCCTGGTGGAATTGGCCTGCAGGAGGGAGCGGCCTTCCCCAACACTCACAGTGCAGCAGCAGCGGTGTCCCAGTGCTTCAATGAGGCCTCTTAAAGCTGTGACGGTGGTGAGTGTGGGCCCCACCCCCTAGGCCTGGTGGAATTGGCCTGCAGGAGGGAGCGGCCTTCCCCAGCACTCATGGTGGCAGCAGCAGCGGTGTCCCAGTGCCTCAATGAGGCCTCTTAAAGCTGTGGCGGTGGTGAGTGTGGGCCCTACCCCCTAGGCCTGGTGGAATTGGCCTGCAGGAGGGAGCGGCCTTCCCCAGCACTCACGGTGGCAGCAGCAGCAGCAGCATTGCCCAGAAATGAGTGCCAACGTAATCTTCCACATATATTTTTGGTCTGACGACAAATCTTTCCAAATTCTCTCAGGCATTTTACATAGAGACTGAGAACCATTAAATCTTTTGTATTTGATTATTGGATACCACTTGTGAGTGGTGCCTCACAAGACGAAATTAATTCGTTCCGCGAGTTTTGTCGTCTTGTGATTTTTTTCGTATTGCGAAGCACGGTGTCGGGAAAGTTTTGGAAAAAGCTTCAAAAACCTCAAAAAGCTTTAAAAACCTCAAAAAAGGCTACCACACCGCGTTCTATGAGTTGCTCCTCGAAGTCAAGTCGCAACTGTATTAACGGTGTTAAGAAAAAGGAAACAAACTTGCAAGACGTTTCCGTCTTGCGAAGCAAGCCCATAGGGAAAATCGTCTTGCGAAGCAACTCAAAAAACAAAAAACCCTTTCGTCTAGCGAGTTTTTTGTCTTGTGAGGCATTCGTCTTGCGAGGTACCACTGTACTTCTGGTAGTAATTTTCCAATAGGTCCAGCAAACGTGTTGGCACCTGTTGTTGGACTATCCATTTCAATGATGATGTGCCTCAGCAGCAATTCATTAGCATGCAGAAGGCATATAATCCATTGTAGAGCACGCCCAATAGTCATTTCTATCAGATGATTAATTCCACCCTCTGATCCAACATTTGTGTTAGTGCCATCACATGCCAAGGCTTCAATTTGATTTAGAATCTGTTTTTCTTCTTCATTATTATAAGCTTTATTGCACTAGCCAAAGGTCATGGCATCATTCACAAAGGAAACAAAAAGGAAAATAACAGTAATCATAAAAACCATAAGATACAATGAACCGCAAATACAAAGAACCACGGTCACGTCTCCTAGAAATTATTTGTTGCATGCGAAAGAATAGCAGGGGGTTCTCAGAATGTGCCAGCTTAAATGTCCAAATAACCTTTGCAATTGACCGCTATTTTATCTGGTTCTTTTCTCCTGATCTTCTTCGCTGCCAACGCATATAGTGCTACTTTATAAGTTACGAAGTCATCAGTATCACTCAGCCATTTCACCCTTTCTGCCCTGTTTGAGTGTGTTCCATTCGTAAGCAGGGGTTTTATAAATCAGTCTCTTGGTTCTATATAAAGTGGGCATGGCAATAAATAGTGGTACAGGTCCTCTACGCAAGGTTGCCCACACAGACATAGTCTCTCCTTGTACTGTACGTTGCCGTACTGACCATCCACCACCACCGAGGGCATCGATTGGAATCGTAATTCTGTTAAATCGATTCTTAGTATGGCAAATGGGAGCTTTGTCAGTAACTAGCTTGGATGTGCTCTGTTTTGATAAGTGGGGACCATGGTGAACTTTTGGTAGAGGCAATTGTGGTTAAATCCCTTTCTGCATCAGACCTGAAGAGACAATCTCTTAAGTGCCTCTTACCGAACTTCATGATCACCTGAAGATCTTGTAATTGATATTGGGTCAAGAGGCGTTGGTTGCCATCCTTCCAACATTTGGTCTGTTCTCGTTCTGTGTGGGGCATAGCGGGGAATCTCCTCCGAGAGAGATTGAAGTCTCTTCATGTAGTTTAGACACAGATAGTCAGTTCTAGTCTGTATTGTTGACACGTCCGCTTCCACGCGGAGAAGAGCAGCTGGGGTCCCATTGGGGAGCAAGAGCACTTTCCTGAGGACTTTGTTCTGCACTATTTCTAAGGCTTTGTTAGCATTTGGATCCATGCCCCATATCGATACTCCATAGAGCATCTGGGAAACCACTTTACTGGCAAAGATTCTCAACGCAGGTTCTAGTAACTGGCCACCCACTGTAAAATAGAATTTCATTAATGCCCCACAAGCTTTCTGCGCTTTGAGTTTCACACCCTCAATGTGCCCCTTCCATGAGAGTGTCTCCGTGAAAAGAACTCCCAGATACCTAAAGGAGCGTATCTGCTCGAGATTCTGCCGGTCCATTTTCCATTTGAAACGGGGGCTACGCTTCCCAAAGACCAAAATTTTGGTCTTGGAGTAATTCACGACAAGCTCTTCCCGCTTGCAATACGAGCTGAAAGCTGTGAGCAGATTATTAAGACCTAATCGGGAAAGTGATAGGAGCACCACATCATCAGCGTACAGCAGACAGGGTATCTACCTATTACTAATTGATGGAGCAGGGGATTGCGCCTGTGTTAGATGTGGCACCATGTCATTTATATTAAAGTTAAAAAGTGTGGGAGCCAATATGCAGCCTTGTTTCACGCCTTTTGTTGTCTTAAATGACTCCGACAGACTTCCCCTTAAGCCCACTCTAATTCATGTTTCGGTGTCACGATACATTTCACGGATTAATAATAATAATTAATAATGACTTAATAATAAGTCATAGCCATATAAATCTGCAAATCTTTCTCGCTCTGCCCTATTGGTTCCTTTGGCTGTGGACTTAGCTTGAAGATTAGGGGTAGAGCTTGTGTTGAACTGCATGTTGTTATCCATGTGTGTAATAAAAGAATTTTCACATACTAGTGCTGGGGCAGGAGACCAGTTACCCAAGTGTTCATGGTCGGAGGAGTTTTGCCAACCTTCTGTTTGTGGTTATGGTCATT